CGTCTCTTTGTTCTTTGATTTTCGATTGCCTCTCCAAAGGCAAGTAGAATAGCATAAAAGTTATTATTAAATTTGGGCTTGCAATATCAGGCCCAGCTCAAATCACGTCATTTTGTTCCTTGATTTTTGATGGCCCCTCCTGAGGTAAATAGAATAGTAAAATTTTTTGAAATATTATTTGGGATTAAAATCAGGCTAGAATGGTTAAATCAAACATTGTAATTCTTGGTATTAAACAGGTTAATTCCTAGTCAAGTTCGATAACATTATCTAGAATTGAGTCAAAATGCACTAGAAGTTTGAATTTGATAATTGATTCATATAGCTAAAATGGGTTCGCGTGCGGTCAGGAATCTTTTCTGAATACTATTTTGAATTCTGTCCCAGAAACCCCATATTTGCACTACTTAATGGTATTATTAATATAATCAAATTATACTGTTAAATTCTAATGTCAACTACTAAATGTGAATATTATCAAAGTTTATGTACTTAATTTTATTAAAAAGTCACCATAATCTGATTTGCATTTTTAATCTTCATCTATGTAATCTAGCTAAAGTATTTAAATTAAAGTATTTATTTATTTTTAAAATTTTTAAAGTTGAATTTACATGTTATTTGTATAAATTTACTCATGTTAGTAGGGATATCTTAATAGAAATTGATTATAATAATAGAAACTTTTTAAATCATACTGGTAGGAAAAAACTTTGTAAAATATTATAAAGCAAAAATATTATATTTGATTGTTTTGTAAAATACAGATATTCTTCAATCTCAAGAGCTAAAGTTTGAAGATTAAGTATATCTGTCATATTTAAAAGCTTTAATATTTCAGTTGCTTTTAATTTCATTTGTCATTAATTTGATTTATATTATTGTGTACTTTATTTATCTTAAAATTATTTTAAATTATTTGAAGAAATATTGCTAATTTTTAAAGCAAACATCTTGACATAATATATTATTTACATTCATTTTGCATTTTTTTTCTTGATAAGAAAATTCTAATATACTAAAAATAAACTTTTTTTCCCTCTTTTCTCTTCTCAATATTTTTTTTTGTAAAAATATTTTGACCATAAAATAATTCAATGATTTTATTTTCATCTATATAAATAATAATTAATGATATCATTTCAAATATCTTTTTATTATTATGCTGCAAACATTTCAAAGACATTTTTACAGAAAGTTAAGAATTGAAAAAAGAAAAAATTTATCAAGAAAAATGAGAAAAATGTCACATTACATTTAAGATTGTATAATTAGATAATTGTTTTATCATTGTTATTATATTGATTTTGAATATCAGTAAAAAAAAAATAATAAATTAGAAATTATTCTACTTTCTTAAAAATGGAAAATAAATTAATTATTAACAAATTTAATATTTTTAATAATGAAAAAAAGTGTGGATTTAAATTTACTTCTTATCATTTTCATCAACTTCAATTACTTTTTATTATTCTTTAATAATAATAATTACATTATGAATATTAACTATATAAATATCTTATCATTCTTGATTATGGCTTTCAGTTGCACATCTTCTAAGTCCAAGAAAACGATCTCAAGTATTTTCTATCTATAAGACAATTTTCTTATAAGCTTGAAAAAGAGTAAAATGTATGTTATATAATTTTTTATATGAATTATTAGTCCTATTATCGGGTTATCACTAAAAATAATTTTCCTCATCATCTCGTTTAAAAATTTTCAATATAGTAAATTGTTAGTTATATACGATTTCAGATAATATTTTTTACGGGTTAATACTAAAAGTCATTATCATTTTAACAAATAAAATGTAATAATAATGGTTTATTAATATAGAATTTCTTTTCAAAGTATAACTAAAGTGAAAATACTGTTATATTAATAATTATATGTATTAATTACTTGTATCATAAGATATATTGGTTTTATTTTTAATAAGCATTATATTTATATTTATTAATGTATCTATTATTATTTTCTTCTTTATTTTATTTTCAGTTTATTAGCATTTATTATTAGCGTTTCACTTTTATATATATTTTATTTCATTAGTATTACTTAATGTTTTATTACTATTATTATTATTATAAGAAATTTGGATAACAAAATTTAATTTAGTGCAATGAAGATCACTGGACATTAATGTTTACTAGTCATTATTATTCACTAGCCATTAATATTCGCTGGTCATAATTGTTTACTAGCCATTAATGTTCGCAAGTCATAATTGTTCTCTAGCCATTAATGTTCACTGGTCATAATTGTTCACTGGCCTTAATTGTCCTGTTAGAAATTTATGTATATAAATGGCGAAATTTCTTTAAATAAAAGAAACACAGTTTTTTAATACAATAAAAAAAGAATTAAATACCTACAATAATAAACAGTTCATCTAATCCTTGAAAAAGTCTGATAAAATCTCTAAAAAACGAATACATCATTATCTATTATTCTTTTTTACATTTTTATTATAATAAACTCTGAAAGCTATAATTAATTATCATACCTGATAGTATAGAGTACTGATGTTGCAGGCGATATTTATGTTGAATTAAAGTTGAAGTTCTGATTATTATATTAAATATCAAATTAGTAAGACAATAAAACACGATACCTTCTGCTTACCTTTAAACTCCGTTTATAACCCATAAACATCAAAGAACTGCTATTAACATATGGTGTCTTCTACCAGAATTTAAATAGAAGAATTTAGATAATTTTGCATGTTTTAACTGAGCCTTGATAAAGAAAAAATCCCATAACAATCAATTTTCTTGTAATTGTTGTTTTTCTTTTGGATTAAAACTTCGTCTTTAGCATCCTACAAAAGATCCAGTTAGTTCTACAATCAATAATATTCAAGAAAGTGAATTACAAAACAATAATTCAAATTTAGCTGAAATTACCTTTCCGATATCTTTAAATTATAATTCTAGACTAAGATATATAGGATTATTAGACACACCATTTTTTAGCAATTTAATTTTCAACAATGAATCATTAAATCTTGACCAGTTATTTCCAGAAGAAAATCCAATGGCAGCTCAAGCAGTGGATCTTCAAAATCTAACCACAGCATTGCAAGCGTTGCAAGGAATTTTGCAAGCTCTGGGAGTAGTAAACGCAAACAACACTATTATAAATTTATAAGTTTAGATGCAAGCAAATACCAATGCATTGAATAATCCTCTTGGAAGGGAGACCTATTTAGTTGAAATCCCAAATTATCAAGGAAGAAACCAGGATCCCATTAGATAGCTGGAAGAATTCACCCGGGCCTGCAATGCTAATGGAATCGTTAACACCAGAAAATTAGAAGTGGTGCCCACTTACCAGTGAGGACCAGCTTCTACATGGTGGACTACTAATCAAGCATTGCCTAATAATAATGCAAACAAGATTAATGCATTGGATGGAAATAACAACAATACAGATTTCATACAAAATTTTCCTACTGCTTTTCATTCTCAAATCTTGGTTGAAATCTGAATTACAGATTAGAATGACGACATTAAAGACCTAACGAAACTGTTGATGCTATGCCTGTGTTCTACAGGAGTTATATCAAAAAACAGAAACCCTTCAGTTTGCATATCCAGCAGCGATTAAAACTCGAAGACTTGTAAATGATCTCTTATCAGAATTACATTTAATGGTGAAGCCTCATAATGACCAAACTTGGGATGTCACACTCAACGGAGCCAAGTTTTATGAATTAACATATCAAGACCAAAATGTTATAGCTTCATACATGAATAAGTATGGTACCACTACACCATCCATTCAGACCAATACTCTTAATGAAGCCATAGCTAATTTGACACAGCAAATCCAGCAAATGAATTTTAAAAGAAAGGACTTCTGTAATATTAGATATCACAGAAATGATGGGTATCAGAGGAATAATGAATACCAGAGACCACAAAACTTACAGTCGAACAATGCATTCTCTGCTATTGCGTCTCAACAAAATAATCTTATTTGTTATTTATACAAACAGCCTGAATACATAAGAAGAAATTGTCTTAATAATTTTAATATTTCTTATGATAATCCAGCTCTTCAGCATAATCAAGCTTCAGGAAGCAATGCCATAAATATGTTTCTTCAGTTCCACTAGTATTAAATAATACTCCTAATATGGTGAATAATAAAATACAGAAACTGCAGCTACTTCAGTTATTATCACAACTGGTACAGGATGACACCTAAGAATAGCATTTAAACTAAATGTTGTACCTCATGAGAGTGAAGGTATAGAACCATTGATCATTCTCTCAAATTTATCATTATTCGAAGCATATCTAGCAACTAAAACATGATCCAAGACTGCTAAGAAACTACTTACGAGTGTTATGAAGAAATTGAAAATAAAAAGAAAAATGATGACAAAGGAGAAGTCTAGCAATTAACCAGTCAACAAGCAAATAAAAAAGTTAAAATGAAACTGTTGAAAAGGAAGTCACCTTTAGTGTCGCCTATAAATAGTATGGTTGATTTTTATATATACAAAGATTTTTTGATCAACTCGCGAATATTACGAATGGCTAACTAATTGCGATAAATCTAAAATTCGGGTAAGCTGTAAAGAAAGCAATACGAAAGCCCATTGCAAAAAAACCTAAAGATCAAATTATTGTGAAAGAAATGCCCAATGAACCTGACAACATGAAATCCAATTTGTCAAAAAACAATACCACAAAGAGAGCAACAGCATTGTACTGCAACACATATATAGACGGAGTAAAGATACCTTTTATAATTGATTCTTGATCTGCAGGATGTATTATATCCTTAAAGTTACTAAAGGATTTGGACATAGAAATAACACAAGCATTGAAAGCTATTATGGTTAATGTTAATGGAGAAAAAAGAAGACCATTAGGAGCAATAACTAAAATTCCTTTAAAAATTAATAACCACATAATTCCTTTTGACGTAGTAGTTACAGAAGCTGAATCCTATGTTGCTATTGTAGGAAATGACTGGTTAAAAGAAACACAGGTAGAAATTGATTATAGAAAAGGGCTAATAACCTTATTTTGGAATAATGAAGACATTAATGTATAAGTTGAATGCTATTAATTACTATATGATCATATTCTCGAAAAGATTGATGAAGAAGAAATCAAAGATAATAAACAAGAAAAACATATTATCGATAATAGTAATACAGATGAAGAATATGAGGAAGAAGCCTATTTACAAGAACAAGTATATTGTTTTAACCAATATATATTCACAGAGGAATCTGAACAAATTGAAAATGAAATAATTAAGCAAATTGGCAATACTACAATATTCAAAGAATCATATTATCAGTATGAAGAGATTGAGAAAGGAAATTTCCATATTGGAGAATTGAATATGAAATAAAAGAAAACCTTTAAAGCATTCATGCATGAATACATTGATTTATTTGTCTGGGATTCAGATGAATTTGGGCGAACATCTGTTATATAACATTCAATTAATACCAGTATAGCAGAACCCATCAAACAGAGATTTTACAGAACTTCTCACAAAAATCAGGAATTTATTAATGAACAAATTCAGCGGTTATTAAAGAATAGACTGATCAAACCTTCAAATAGTTAATGGACCTCCCCAGTTGTGGTTGTGGAAAAGAAAAATGAAAAAAAACGGTTTTGTGTAGATTATTAAAAACTAAATGGAGTAACCAAGAAAGATTGTTACCCTTTACCTAGAATAGATGATATGTTGGAAACTTTATCAGGATCTTCTTGATTACTTCTCTTGACCTTGCTAGTGGATCCTGACAAGTTAAATTGAATTTTAGAGATATGAAAAAAACAACTTTCATAACTAAATTCGGTACCTATGAATTTAGCATAATGCCATTTGGACTGTGTAATGCACCTGCCATATTTCAACGCTTAATAGACACCATTTTAAGAGACATATTATGGCAATTTGTTGTTGTATATGTTGATGATATTAATATCAGATCAAGAATCTTCGAAGAACATCTCATGCATTTAAAGCAAGTATTTATGCAATTGAGAAATGCTGGACTAAATTAAGCCCAGAAAAATGTTTCTTCTTTAAGTGAAAGTTACCTTTTCTAGGTACTGTGATAAGTGGAAAAGGAATTCAGACTGACCCTGAGAAATTAAGAGTAATAAAAGATTACCTCTACCAAAAGATTTGACCCAGCTTTGAGGTTTTATTGCGTTAGCCTCTTACTACCGAAAGATTGTTAAAGGGTTTTCAATGATAGCTTAACCTTTGCACTGACTCTTAAAGAAGAATATTTATTATCAATAGATGAAATATCAGCAAGAAGCCTTTAAGAAACTACCATCATACTTAATAACACTTCCAATATTAGCTTATCCTAATTTCGAAAACCTTCGTTCTATATACAGATGCTTCAACTTTTGCATTAGGAGCAATATTATCGCAAAAAGAAATTGATTCTAAAGAATATATTATAGCTTATGCTAGTCATACATTGAACAAGCATGAACAAAACTATACTATTACCGAACTCAAATGCCTTGCTGTTATATAGGCAATAAAATACTTTCATCATTATTTTCATCGACAAAGATTTGTTATTGTTACTGACCATTTCGCTTTAGTATATTTGAAAAATAACTCAAACCCTGTTGGGAAACTTGGATTTGGATTATGACTCTTAACTTATTTGACTTTGATATTAGCAACTGACCAGGAAAACAACATTCAAACGTAAATACTTTAAGCCAGATAACCCATTAATAACAACAGAACAAATCTTTAAATACAGCAACAGAAATAGCATTCACAACACTTCTTAATGATAATGGATTTTGACCATTATGGACCCCAACATATCCCGCACACAATACTTAATGGATTTAATAATGCCAACACAACTTACTAAAGTACAACAAATTGAAATAAAAAGAAAATCAAGATATTTTATTGTAATCGAAGGACAACTATACAAAAAAAATAGAAAGGAACTGAATCGACCACTTAAAGTAATAAAAAGAGATGAAATAGAAACAATTCTATATTATATACATTCAGATCTATTGGCAGAATATTTCGCTATAGAAGAAACCTATAGAAGAGTTAAAATAAGATATTATTGGCCTCAAATATTCGAAGACATTAGACAATATGTGAAAATATGCGATGAATGCCAGCGAAGGGACAAAAATAAACATTCTGAACCTTTATATCCTATCAAGGTGGAACAGCCTTTTGATAGAGTTGGAATGGATATTATTGGACCTTTACCTAAAATAAAGAATGGAAATTCCTACATTGTTATAGCTACAGAATATTTAATCAAATAGCCCGAAACACGTATAATACTTGATGCTAAGGCTTCTTTAGTAGTTTTATTTTTCTATGAAGATATTATATGCTGACATGGTTATCCAAATATACTATTAACAAACTGAGGAACACATTTTGTTAATGAAATGCTTAATTTCTTGTGTGAAAAATTGGAAACAAAACATAAGTTGTCATTCACTTATTACTCGCAAACGAATGGACTAGTCGAGTGATTCAACTGAACGTTATTCGAGACTTTAATCAAATTTGCCAATGACTACAAAGATGACTGGAACAACTATATTTCCTCATCCCTTTTTGCTTATAGAACAAAAAGATATGAAATAATAAGATATGAGCCATTTTATTTAATGTATAGACGTGAAGCCATTATTCCAACAGAAATGTTAAATTAAATCTTGAAAGTGCAACTAATAGCTTTTGATTTTTGTGATAAATTGTTAAATCAAATACAAAATATTATCGGGACTTTTGAGGATAATAAAACAAAAGCTCAGAAAAATATAGAACATCACAGTTAAAACAAAAAAACTGACATGATGAAAACTTAAAGAAGGTACAATTTAAACGAGATGACTTGGTCTTACTATATAAAAGCAATTTACAGGAAAAAAGAAATTAAAAGAATGATAGAAGAGACCTTAAATAATACATGATATTCTAGGCAATTGTGTCTATAAGTTAAGAATAATAGATGATAAAATGCTAAAAACTCCCATTAATAGTGAAAGATTGAAATTGTATCACAAACGATCTGCTTAATCTATTTTAACTATATACGTTATTTATTATTATTACTAATAATTTTACATATAAATATTGCGTATATATATATATAAAAAAAAAATAATAATTATTTTTTTTTATGAAGTATTACTCAAAGAATCTAAAAAAATCATTATGTCAGTTCTTGGAGTTATGGCAACAGAAAGCCAAAAATGATGAAATCCTGCAAATTATTTCCTTCACAATAACTACTTTAAATTCAGAAAATACAACAACTATGACAATACAATCTGTGATACAGGAATGCTTCAATAGAATAACACTTGAGAGATATCAAGAAGACCTTGACTACACTTCATCGGAAATAATTCCTTTTCCTAGCTATATTGAACAACCCAAAGAATAAAGATTAATTACAATAATAGAAAATATTAAGAAAACTGAGTTTAAGTCAACATACTGACTGGAAACTTATTATTATTTGGGAAATCTACTGGCTAACCATGGATGGATAACTGAAGATAAAAATGTGTTGTAGAATAATTTCCCAATCTAAAGATATTAAGAAATAAAAAAGTTTTGTGATGAGTTTTCGAATTATATACCACAAGAGGAATTTCAACTTTATACTAAGCAAAATTCATTCGACCTATACACCTAGTAAATATTAAAGAAAGTGAATTTTACAAGCAACTAATTCCGCATGCAAGACAATGAAAACAGCAAGAATTAGAACAATTATTAAATTCGCAGGAGCTCGTAATATAAAGGAGTCATATGTTATATTAATAATTATATGTATTAATTACTTGTATCATAAGATATATTGGTTTTATTAATAAGAATTATATTAACATTTATAAATGTGTCTATTATTATTTTCTTTATTTTATTTTCAGTTTATTAGCATTTATTATTAGCGTTTTACTTCTATATATGTTTTATTTCATTAGTATTACTTAATGTTTTATTACTATTATTATTATAATAAGAAATTCAGCTAATAAAATTTAAGTTAACGCAAAGAAGATCACTGACCATTAATGTTCGCTGGTCATAATTGTTCACTGGCTATGTATATAAATGGCGAAATTTCCTTTAATAAAAGAAACACGATTTTTAACATAATAAAAAAGAATTAAATACCACAATAATAAACAGTTCATCCAATCCTTGAAAAAGTCTGATAAAATCCCTAAAAAATGAATACATATCTATTATTCCCTTTTACATTTTTATTGTAATAAACTCCGAAAGATATAATTAATTATCATACCTTATCGTATAGAACGTCAACATTGCAGGCAATACGATATTTATGTTGAATTAAAGTTAAAATTCTGATTATTATATTAAATATTAAATTAGTAAAATAATAAAATATGATACCTTCTGCTTACATTTAAATTCCGTTTATAACCCATAAACATCAAATAACTGTTATTAACAATACATCAATTTCTTGATTAAATCTTCGCATAAAAGTCCATTAAGAACTATATAATAATAATTCCATATCATGTGCCATTGGCTATACTATTCTTCAACGGTCATCTGATTTTCATAAAAAATTGACCTAAGTTAGGAACGTGTCAGAAATCAGTTGATTTCACTTTATTATAAGTCTGATTTTCCACCCCTCACTTGATAATCAATTTTGATTGTCTAAAAAAATTAATGTATAAATACTATGAAACTGAAAAGTAAAATAATTAAATTATAATAAATAATTAGTAAGTAATCAATTAAATAAAAATAAAATTAATAAATAAAGTCATTTTCGATCCATAAGTTTCTTTTTTGCTATTATTTTAAAATCAATTCTAAAATTGCGATTTACTTTTATAATAATTATTTATATTATGCATTGAGATAATGATTAATATATGAAATCCTTGAAAAATTCATAGAAAAAAAATATGAAAACACACTCTTACATTCTTTTTTGCATTCTTTTTTTTAAACTAATATTCAAAGTTTTTTAAAAGCATCAAACTTTAACAAAAACATTTTTTATAAGCAACCTCAAAATAAATATCAAGAATTTTGCAATGCATATGCATATTTCAAACAAGCAACATTTTGTGACTCTAAGCCAAATCATTAAAAAATAATACAAGAATGTGTAGAAGTTTGGAGGGAAGTTAAAAAAAATGATATTGCTTTTATTGAAAATAAAATTCAGGAATATTATGACACCACACCTTCCATTATTTGCTCTCATCAAAGAATTTTTATGTCACGTGATTCAACTAATAGTTCTCGTCAAACCTTTACTCTATTCATTGCAAGACAGTTTGTTGGGTATATTGATACTTTAACAATACTGACAAATGCCAAATCACAATATATTGCAGCTGAAAAGATCAATTCAGTTACAAAAAGCTTAGCTGAATATCAACAAATGATAGAGATTTCTACAGATGACTTAATGAAAGTTTTGTTATCATCTAAGATAATTGAAGAACAAAAAAATATATCAATACATAATGCACAGTTAACGAAGCTGAAACGTCATGCTGAAGCCCAATCAAGGCTAGCAACAAAAAAAAATTGCTAGTAGAGGGTATTGTAGAAAAATATAATACTTCTGGAAGACCATCTGTGGCTATAAAAGATCCAGATCTATAGGATAAAATCCATGATAATGTTGAGTTTGGAGCTGCTCATGCTAAATAAAGAAGAGTGATCATAAAAGTTAGAACCATAAAGCATTTATGCGAAACTTTAGAAAAAAAATATAATACTTATCTATCTCGTCAATGCTTATTAACTTATCTTCAATCCTGAAAATAACACACCTTTGCTGCACGTCATTATCATTATCCAACAAAGGTTAGTCTCGCTTCCATATTATGGACAGAAATAAAACCTCATATTGATGAACATTACTGTCTAGCTTCTGTTAAAGTCACAAGAGTATTTGCTGAAGTTTTTGCTGATGAGGCAATTATCATTTCTCAGGATACAAGTCAAAGGTCAGATTTGGCATTCCCGCAGTTAGTCGCACATTTAAAACAATCCAGTCAGTTTATGAACCAGTAACTGTTAAAGATTATAATTTTTCAACTGGTTCAAAAATGAAACTCATATTTTCTGTTTATTTAGTTATTAATCCAGCTGATTTGAGTAATACCCTTCGTATTGGTCAGCTTTTTATATTTATTAGACCAGAATATTTTATTGGAACTTCATCAACAACTCATATAATAGATTTAGAAAGTATCATTTCGAATGAAAAGATTTTTACTATCTTAAAGAAAGAATGCAAAGTTAGATCTATTTGGATTCTTCTTGTCGATAGTGGACCTGATAAAAACCTGAAGCATATAAAAATATTATTTAATATGTTCACCTTTTTTGTGATTTTAATCTGAACTACTTGATGATTCGTACTTTTGCTCCAGATCAAAGTACGTATAATCCAGTCAAACGTAATATGGCTTCTTTATTCACAAACTTGATGGTATTACTCTACCTGTGAGGAATTTGGATCACATCTAAATAGTCAAGGAAAGTAGTAGATGAAGAATTAGCATGATGGAATTTTGAATATTCGGAAAAAAAACTACGTGATATGAAAAAGGAATGACATATATAGAAAACCTGTGATGGTAGAATATGTCGACTAGGAGAAACATCTATTTAATGATTATAAGCCTTCAATATTATGGGAGTGGATTGAGGATCATATACAGATATGCTGCTGTTAAGCTTAATCTGTTCATCATTAAGTTAACAAAGATTATTTGCTAGCAGGGAGTTTAAGTACGTCTAAAGTATAGAAGAAATAAACATGAATAATTAAATTGAAGGGTCAGGTTGTTTTTATTGATATAAATTCAAAGAAGAATGAATTATTTAATAAGCAAAGATAAGTTTTAGATAAATGTTATTAATTTATTAGAGAATTGGTAGCGATTCTGCCATTTATTGAGGCAGAATACAAGATATTTATATAAAATATATCAATATAAAATAGATATTTAAGATAATAAAGAAATATAAGAAATATAAGAAAATAAAGAAATTAAATATAATAAAGAAATATGTGAAATTAGAAATCGCTAAGAAATTAGTGAAATCAAAGAAATTAGAGAAATGGTAAAAAGTTGAGAATCATGATTGTCATGATTACCATTCATTCAATTATGTTAGGCGCAGTATCATGTATCATAATAAGACTATTACTAATACCGCTATTTACTATATATAAAAAAATGTAAAAATAATGAATGTTGTGATATATACAAAGTTCTGAATACTGATTTAAATGAGAATAATGAATTCCTTCCTCCAACTATAAAAGGAAAAGATGATCACTTTATTAATCCAATTCACATGCTTTAATATCATGATAAACTCAAAATTTCAAAGTACAATAGCTGTTGCTCTTCAATTTCATGAGAATTACATCAACGTTGTTATGTTCAATTTGTAACTTAAATAAAATTCACAAAAATTAATAATGCTAAGACTAAACTCAGGAAATCACAATGAAAATTCGTAGTAAAAATCAAAGATTATTCTTAATTACATACAAGTAACTTTTGGATATTTCAGAGATTACGTTTCAGTGACTACACCTTAAGTCAATACAATGAATCAATACAATATCACGCAAAGTTAATAAATAATAATAATATATACACAGGTTAAAGGATTGTGAAGGATAAGTTTTAATTTGGTTAATTATACTCTTTATTAATAATATAATAAATTGTAAGGTCTTTACCTCATAAGTTCATAAGATAATAATTTCATCCAGTGAAATATTATCCTTACTCGTATTAATTGATGGATTTATTCATTAGTATCATTTTTCAATAAAAATATAAAGGTATTTATATATGTTTGATAATTATAAAATGAACTAAACTAAATATATCTATGAAAAATAAATGATATCATCAAGGAAATAAAGTTGACAAAATTGATCAGCAAAGATGATCATATCAATAAAGTTGCCCATTACACTGGAAATAAAATTGACATCTAGATCTACAATGTTTCACATTGATTATCTCAAGACATAAAGTTGACATCAGGATTGACAAGATGATAAATAAGGATATTTAATTGACATTGGATTTGTAATCAATTTTTAGCCAAAATTTTACACTGTTATAGCGTTTATGTTGTAGCATATGTGGCAAATACTTTCTGACCTCAAGTTCATAAGTAACTATAAGCATAGTATACATTCTAGACATTACAATAAGAAATCAAAAAGCTCTCAGAAACAAGCTAATGAGATAGAGATGAGTTTATGCTTATTCTATTCAATCTAAATTTTAACGTTGCTGAAGATATAGTTCAAAGCAAAGGTATAGGACAACTTGAATGGAATTTTCATGAAGTTTAGTCAAACAAAGATTAAAAAAAAAGAAAAAAGTTAGTTTTATATAATAATGTAATAACATCAGATACTAAAATATCCTTACATATAATTGTGGCTCAATCATGTCATGATAAAATATAGGAATTGAATAAAATAATAAAATTAATAAAATGCTTTTTTTTGATTGTACTCAGCATGTGAATATTATGATTCAGACCAATCATTTTATTACAATTGTATTTGGCATGTGATTTTTGTTAATATTTCTAGCCAAATTGAACTGACCAATCATTTTATTACAATTGTATTTGGCATGTGATTTTTGCTAACATTTCTAGCCAAATTGAATTGACCAATCATTTTACATTGAGTATATCATGTGACTATAACCACCTAATATAAAGACCGACCTCACCCTTCTTTTAAAACAGCTGATTTCTGGCATATCACTTAATGAGTATATGATTTATTTTGAAACGTGCTTCACCTAAAATAAACAGTAATTTGAAGTATAACATCATGATGACATTTGTAAGTTTTCAAATCTTTCATTCTCATATTATTTAAACAATGTACAGTAGGATATCAAAAGTCACCGGGCACTTAAAATTAGAAAATCGACAAAAATGGTTCTTTCATATAATTTAATCACTTTTGAAATAATAAGTAAAGTTATGTGCTATAATGAGTTGCATATAATTTAAAGCTTTTATAGATATCTGATTAGTAGTAAAATATATATTATTCATTTAACATGATATTTTCGTGTTTTAATACAAAATTTCAGTTATAATTGAACATAATAATTTTCAACTATAATTATTTTATTCATTAAGTAAACTTATTTATCAAATTAAAAAGTAAATTTCTGCCAAATTTTAGATTAATTATCTATAAACTTGATAAGATCAATTTGATTACAGTAAAGTTATTAAAAGTCATGTGATATATCTATTTCTTTTTATATTTAATAGCACATTTATCAAATGATCTCCACGAGAATAAATGTAATTAATATGAAATTTGGCAGAAATTTATGTATTAATTTGACAAATAAGTTTACTTAATGAATAAAAATAATTATAGCTGAAAATATTTATGTTCATTTATAACTGAAATTTTGTATTAAAACATAAAAATATCATATTAATGAATAATATATATTTTACTATTGATCATATATCTATAAAAATTTTAAATTATATGCAATTCGTTATAGCGCATAACTTTACTTATTATTCCAAAAGTGATTAAATTAATAAAATAAAATGTATTATTTGAAAGAACTATTTCTATCAATTTTCTAATTTTTAAGTGTACAGTGACTTTTGATATCGATATCCCATTGTACAAGAACTTCAATCATTAAAAATAATAACTACTTTAAATATTTTAATGGACTAATCCTTAGATTTATTATTTAAATCATCAGCATAAATCTTCAAATTGTGATGATGATGGTGAAAAATCATCAATTAATATATATGTTAATTGGTCAAAAAAGTAAGGTTAGGCTAAATTATTTGTAACAATGTCAATATCTGGTGGGATGAATTATAGATAATATTAATTTTAATTGTTATGTAGAAGGTGAATTAATTCAATCTATCACCAAGACTTTACAATGATCAGACTATATTCTTTTTGTAATTAATTTTTCCAGCATATATATACTAAATTTAAACTACCATTTTTATAATAATAATAAATAATACAAATAATATAAATGATAAAAATAAAATAAACTAAATAAAATAAAGAAATATAAAAAATTAACTAAAACTCCAAAATGTTACATATTTGACATGATTATCATAATTAACATGTATGCTATAGTGATAGTCAAAAAAATGACAATTTTAATATGTTAGATCGTCATTTTACAATTTCTTCAATTTTAATCATACATATATAAATAAAAATGCAAATGAAAGTCTTATAATTATGATATTACTTTCAAGTAAATCTTTTCCTATATCTTAATAAAATTTTAGTTTATTAAGCTTTAAAGTGATTTTATCTAGGCAAAAAATTTAACATTAAATAAGATTACATTTCTAAAGGTAAGAAGTATACAATGCTACTAAAATATACTCATTCATAAAGATTAACATAAAACTATTACTAAAATTTAAAAAAATTGAAATAAATTAGAAATTAAATATATAAAATTCTTTATCAAGATAGCATTTTAGTCATTTTATTAAGTAATTTGATATTTTACTAATTTTTTTTTGAAAATAGTATTTTAAGGTAATGATTGTTTTTTTAATAATCTAAATCTAAAACTTATTGAGAACTATTAGCTTAATTATCAAAAGGAATGTGAAGTTATATGAGTTAGAAAAATTTAGTAAATTAAAAGTTTTTAAATAAATGTAAAAAATAAAAAATACAAAAAAAAACCTTCTAATTGATTTTATAAATTTAATTTATGATATTATAATAGGATTACTGAAAAAAATGATAAATAAATACCATAAATTTTTTTTAAATAAAATTTATAACATATTAGCTTTAAAATGATATATGGTATATTTTCATTAATATAATATTTATATAACTATCACAATTTTAAAACCTGTCATTTATTTTGATCACTACTGTATGTATGCTATTCATATTATTTACTACATTTACCGCAGTATGCAGTTAACCATTTTCTAGACTAATAATGAATAACTATAATTATTAAACATACATTAAAAATTTGCGTAATTGAAATTTGTATGTAAACGCTAATGCATTGATTTTAAAATACAAAAGAAAGAAAAATAACAATTTTATTTTGATGTATCCAAATGATGATAAATTATAACAGGTTAAACTAGACTTTTGAACTTGACTGTAATATAAATAATTAAGTATTGAATATTGAATAAGAGAACATTTTTAGGAACAGTTCACGCCCAATTATTGGTCAAGTCTTATAACCACTTACAGTAAATTTTTGTTATACAGTAATATTATTACATAAGCTAAATAAAATAAATATATGTGAAAGTAAAGCAGCGTGAAACCTGCGTGATAAAAATAATAATAATAAAATAAAATAGAGAGAAGGATAGTAAATAAAATCTCTATTGCACGTTTTAGGGAATTCTATTGTTTGCTAAAAAGGTGAAAGTGTTAATCAATTTTTGTAAAATTTAATCATTGGAATCACAAGTTTTAATTATTGGATTAAATTATCTAACATT